AAAGTGTTGCATCTGAATTTAGTTAGATTAATTACACTTTGAAAACTTTGTCTACTGTGTTGGTTGACAAATTTTTATATTCATTCTGTATATAAATATCGCAGAACAAATTAATTTAGCAGAATAATTTGATAAAATCGTGCTCTTTCATGCGACCAGTGTAATATCACTTTATGAAATAACAGTCATAGATTTTTGTAGCAGTACTTATTTTGGAATGATTGACAAATATGGTCACAATATTTATGTTGTCGTTAAATTTTATATGGTACATAAAGTACACTTTATATGGTTACATTGTTACAATATAAAATATTGTCTAGATATAATTAAATCCATATACAGGGTGGGCCACGTAAAACAGACCATCTAATTATCTTTTGTAACTATGGTGGTACGAAAAAATTCGTATGCGTAATTTAAATAGTTTCAAAGGGCGAATAAGATGGAAGAAAAATTTTTCTGATGTAAGAAATGGCAAAGGAAGGAAGTTTCGCATTTGATTTAAAATTCCAGAGTCCAAAGTCACTTTAAGATCATATTACTATGCATGTTTGAATGCACATCTGCGTCTGCTACAATATACAGCAGAAAAGAAATATATACATTCATGTAAAAGAACAGGTGACCTGGAAATAAAACATGGCGTTTATAAAAAAAATTTTTCTTCCATCTTATTCACCCCTTGAAATCATTTGAAGTACATACAAAAATTGTCTCGTACCACCATAGCTAGAAAAGGTAATTAGTTGGCATATTCTACGTGGTCCACCCCATATATCAGACAGAATTAAAGGAAGGAATTATTCACCTTTATCTTCAATGAAAAATTTCATAAAAATCTCTGACAAGTGCATTTAATAAAAAAATTTGTATACTTTCATTGGTTGCATTTAGTCATGATCTCTGCTTTACATTTTCAAGCAATTTCACAAAGAACGGTGAAACACAGAATTATCAGAAACGATAAATGGGTGAAATAAGCGATACATTTATAGGAATCCTCTCCATTGTCTTTAAGTGCTGAGCTGTCCCTAGAGCGAGTAGTGCCAATAAAGAAACAGCCTGTATAATAATACAATAATTCAGAACGGCACGAAATTGGCTGGGATTTTCTCACACAAAGGAAACGAGCAAACGATGCGTTGGAAGTGTGCCGAAGAATACTTTCGATTCGCGGCGAGAAGCCATTTACCCCAAGAAACCAGCAATTCCACGTGGCAGCTGGAATAAATGCGCCACGTGGGGTAACTCAACACCATGCTTCCCCCGATCCTTCTCACTGCAATGAAACACGCGTATAACGAAGTAGAAAAATGAGAGAAAAAATGGGGGAGGGAGAGAGAGAGAGGGTGAGTGAGTTAGTGAGTGATTGAGTTACTGAGTGAGTTAGTTATTGAGTGAGTGAGTTAATGAGTGAGTGAGCGATTGAGTTAATGAGTGAGTGAGTTAACGAGTGAGAGAGTTAATGAGTGAGTGAGTGAGTAAGTTAGTAAGTGAGTGAGTGAGTAAGTTAGTGAGTGAGTGAGTGAGTGAGTGAGTGAGTGAGTGAGTGAGAGTTAATGAGTGAGTGAGTTAACGAGTGAGTGAGTAAGTTAGTGAGTGAGTGAGTGAGTGAGTGAGTGAGGGAGAAAGTAAGTTAATGAGTGAGTGAGTTAATGAGTGAGTGATTGATTTACTTAGTGAGTGAGTAAGTTAATGAGTGAGTGAGTGAGTAAGTTAGTGAGTGAGTGAGTGAGTGAGTGAGTGAGTAAGTTAGTGAGTGAGTGAGTGAGTGAGTGAGTGAGTGAGTGAGTAAGTTAATGAATGAGTGAGTTAATGAGTGAGTGATTGATTTACTTAGTGAGTGAGTAAGTTAATGAGTGAGTAAGTTAATAAGTGAGTGAGTGAGTAAGTTAATAAGTGAGTGAGTGAGTAAGCTAATAAGTGAATGAGTGAATGAAGGGGGTGGGAGAGAGAGAGATGTAGAGAAGTATAAGATTTCGATCTTTTACTTGCATTAGCGTGGCTTTCGAAACCAGTCGTTAGAATTAGTTGTAGCCGAAATCAGGAATGATTTTTTGTTCCATATGTGGATATTCACGTACGCTTTGCACGCGCTTTATCTGTGTCCCGAGGAAAGCACAAACAAAAAAGCACCCTCGAGAGAACGAGAGAGTTTCGCAGGTACGAATAACGTTCGTTGTTGCATCCCCTTCTCTTCCACCCCGACCCGCTCTTCTAGCATCGGGACACGCAGGAAACGCTGACAGTCCTCGACAGGTTGGACCTTGATACCGAGAAGCCGACAGACGAGGAACTGGCGAGGAAGTTCGGTTTCGAAGAGGCGTATTACGATGGCACTCTAACGTGGTGGCAAAAGCTCAAGCCCCAGATGTGGTCGCTGTTCGATGAACCCTACTCGTCATTAGCAGCTAAGGTTTGTATCTTTGTATCTGTATATTGTTTTCATAGATAGTCTGGACACTTTTATGCGAACGGTTAAAATGTTCAACGGTGAGAGTGTAACGAGTTTTTAAGTGTACCTCAAGATGAAATATCGCGTATCTCACTTCTCGCTTTTTATTGAAACAATAAAAACAACTTGCGGTAGTGAAGAATAAATTGTTTGTAAACATACATTATGTCATCTTGAAGCTCTTTTTGAATTTGTCCTCTGTGTGTTAAATATGGGTGTTCAATGAAATCTTGTTGTCACATATGTTTTTCCTGACTTATAGCTTGGTACTTCTACCCTGAAACATATTTTTCATAAATTTTTACAGTAATCACTGCTAAACTACTTTGTTCGTTATAACCTTAATAGTGTAGATATTTGAATAAAAATGTTTACTAAATGTTGAGCTAATATATGTATCAGACTTTTCGATTACTTTATTATCTGCAAAACTGTATTAAAACAGGGGCATGACAATTCATATAACTTTTCTTGTTAAATTTATCTTGATGGACACTTACCATTGAACGTTTTAACTTCTCATGTAAATGTTATTCAATTTTTATTTTAATTGTATCACTAATTTTAGTGTGTTCACGTCAACTCTGAACTGGTAGAATATAATATAATAGTGATT